GCTGACTAATGCAGCAATATAAACCCACTGTCAACATCTCTATTATGAAATTTATTTCAATTCTAAATGACCATTCCTTTTATTTCTTACACTGCGATCAAAACTATGCTTGTTAAATTGTTCTATTCCCTTCAGTGCTTTTAAAGAGAAAAAGAATATGGATACTTTATTATTGGGAGAAGCTCCACCCAGGAGGAGGAGCCAAGCATTCCTGCCTGGACAGAATCGGAGATTTTGGGACACCACAGCAGCCTTTTCCCAACTGCATTGCCAGAGCAGCAGCTTTCTCCTCCACTGCATTCCCAGAGGAAGACCAGACCCATCGAAACCACCACTGGAGCTTCAGAGGAAAACTCCAGCCTTGTGCAGGATCCCTGCTCCAACAGAACCACAGCTGGCACTGCAGGAGGACTGAGCCACCATGGGATGGGACTGTGCCACCACCCTGACCCACAGGGTGTCAGCTCCTGCTCTGACTCTGGCAGTGGGTTTTGGGGTTTTTTGTTTGTACTGTTACATTTGTATTCTTAGTTTTCCTAATAAAGAACTGTTAGTCCTATTCCCATCTTTACCTGAGAGCTTCTTAATTTCAAAATTATGGCAATTTGAAGGGAGGGGGTTGACATTGTCCATTTCAAGGAAGGCTCCTCCCTTCCTTAGCAAACAGCTGTCTTTTCACACCAAGACACCTCCAGTGCTCTTAAAAAGAATATGAACACTTCATTGAGTAATCCATTTCTAAGCCACTCTTCCAATCTAGTATAGAAAACAAAGCCAACTCATATTTGGCAAGAACAATTCATGTCAAACCAGTTTCCTTTTCTGACAGGACAAATGGCTCAATGGGTGAAAGAAGCAGTAGATGTGACATTTTTACTGTAGTAATATTTTAACGTGTGGTACTGTTAGAAACAACACTTAAAAATCATAGGATTCTATTAGAATACATGGAAGGTGTCACCTTGTGTGGCAGCAGAAGTTACAGGGAAAAAAAGGGAGTTTAGGGAATAGTGACCAATGATTTGTCCTGTGGGAATAAATCCCTGGGCACCGCATAAAAATGGGACTTGCCTGACTTCCTAAACTCTCCTGTCATCAGGCACTGGCAATTACACACTCTTGATACAATACCAATGGTAAGTATATAATTTCTTGTCATGTCTTTTTGCCCTGAAATGAACTCAAGCTTTTCAGGAAGAATTTATTGAAATGTGCCTTTAAAGTTGAGCTGACTCACTAACTTGACAGGGATTAAAAAATAAAAGCTGAAATGTTGTGGTTCGTTTTGGGGTGGGGGCACCCGTGGATGTCCCCGGAGGGCCCCCTATGCTGTGAGTTGGCTGGCAGCAGCAGGCAGGCAAGGAGACTCCACACGGCTTCTGAGGGTGCTGATGAGATGAAGGTTTATTTGGGGTCCCAACCCCGGGAGCAGCATGGCTACTGAGGAAAAAGGGGGGAAGGGGGAAGGAGGGGCAGCCTAGGGGAGGGAAGGGGCAAGAGGAGGGGAAGAGGCTGAGAGAGAGGAAGGGCTAAGAACCAGACTGATCCCATAGCACAGCTTAAGAGGGGAATTGAAGTGGGGGCGGAATCACACTGGGCCAATGGGATGACAGATACAGGATGGTTCAGGGCAGGACCACAGGCTTAGAATATACCATACATTTCGGAGGGGTGAGACAGAGCATACCGTTTAAACAAAATGGAATACAACACTGAAAGATAGTCCAGACACTAACCTGACACACTCCTCAAAGTAGGAAGATCAGGATGGGCACCTGAAGAAAAGAACTATGAACTATTTGGTCAGCTCGGCTGGTTTAGGAACCCAGTGATGTGACAGGGGCAGTTCAAACCCTGGCACAGGAACCTGTGCTCTCAGAAAAAGAGAGCACGTTTAAGTCATACAGATTGCAGGAAAATGAATCTGGAATATGAAATCGCGAATAGGTGATTATAATTACACACTCCAATTTAGGACAACATTTAATCACTTGCAGGTACTTAAACATTTTCTTGACTAAATGCACACTGTTGTTTCCTGCATTAGGGATTATGACTTGAGGTCATGGCTGAGATTTCAGATCTAAGTGATAGCAAGTAGATCTCAGATGAAGGTCTAGAAGAGGGATTTAGATGCTAAAAGAGCTTTTAAAATCTGAGCCTAAAAGAAGAAAGCATTTCCTTGATAAATATGAAACTATAAACATGAGCAGTGTGTAAAGCTTACAGATTGGACTCTTTCTTTAATACGATCCTCTCTGGAAGAAATTGGACTTTAGCTGGAGGAAACCTGTGGCTCACCAAGCCACTTCAGGTGAATTCTCAGGAGAGATATCTGCAATTGTCAGTGCTTCCTGCAGAACACCCAAATCCCCCCCATTCCTCCTCAAGCCCTACCTTGCAGCATTAGCTCTGGCCAAATCCAGACCCTGCTCACAAACTCTGTGTGGCACCTGGCAGGGGGGAAAACTGTTCACTGGAGTGGTGACTGAAACACAGCCTGACTTTAACAGTGCAGGTAACAGCGACTGAAACACAGCCTGACTTTAACAGTGCAGGTAACAGCGACTGAAACACAGCCTGACTTTAACAGTGCAGGTAACAGTGACTGAAACACAACCTGACTTTAACTGTGCAGGTAACAGCAACTGAAACACAGCCTGACTTTAACAGTGCAGGTAACAGTGACTGAAACACAGCCGGACTTTAACAGTGCAGGTAACAGTGACTGAAACACAGCCGGACTTTAACAGTGCAGGTAACAGTGACTGAAACACAGCCGGACTTTAACAGTGCAGGTAACAGTGACTGAAACACAGCCGGACTTTAACAGTGCAGGTAACAGTGACTGAAACACAGCCGGACTTTAACAGTGCAGGTAACAGTGACTGAAACACAGCCGGACTTTAACAGTGCAGGTAACAGTGACTGAAACACAGCCGGACTTTAACAGTGCAGGTAACAGTGACTGAAACACAGCCGGACTTTAACAGTGCAGGTAACAGTGACTGAAACACAGCCGGACTTTAACAGTGCAGGTAACAGTGACTGAAACACAGCCGGACTTTAACAGTGCAGGTAACAGCAACCGAAACACAGCCAGGCCTAACGAACAGGACAAGTGACACTCTTGCCAATTGACCTAACCCTCTGGGTTCCCAGCTGTCCCTCCCTCTCCATGCCTCAGCCAACCCATCTCTTCCCCTCACCAAGCACTCCCAGCAGCTCACCCGAGCCACAGCCATGGCTGTGGGCTCCTGCACACCAGGAGAAGGAGATTCTCAGAGCAGGAGGCGTTTGGGCTGCCTGAGCACCAGTGTGAGCAAGCAGAGGGAGTGGGACAAGCTGGGACAGCCAAGGCTGTGTGGGGCAGAGCTGCTGCTGAACCCTTTCCCCACCCTAACACACAGCTCTGCACTGCTTATTCATCATTTTGTGCCAGTTTAGGCACCTCTGTGCCACTCTGGGAACACGTGGAGTGATGGGGTTCCATATGTTATGGAATACGAGCACAGGCATGCAAGTCCCAATTATCATGATGCATCTCTGACTTAAACTGTTTATACCAAGAGCTGTTTCACTGGATGGGGAGGTGCAGGTGCTTTGTGGCCAACAGAGAATCTCAAAGGGTGGCAGCTGGCCTGGGCCTCTGCTAAATGTGCTACAGGGCTAAAAAAGGGGCGTAGTTCCCAAATGGTCAGTCCAGCACCATTCCTGAGCTTGACACTCACTTTAAATCAGCATGCAATTTAAAAATAAGTATTACAAATGAAGGTTATCTTACCAGGAACATATAAATTACATTTCTAAACTCACACTCTTTGTATTGATGCAGCCCATAAAGTTCCTGCTCTGCAAGGTCAGTGGACATTGTTTATTGCACGTTATGTGCCCTTGCAGTGGTTTTTAAATCCTGTAGATGTTTAAAGAAATGCTTCTACTTTCTTTGATCTTCTGCAACCATGCAAGTATTAACACACACAATGCTGACAGAGAGACACTGGATAAAATGGTTATTTTTAGAATTTCCTTACTTCATAAAACAATAGCTAGGATGCCACAAATAACTCACTATGAATTCTTCTTAAAAGCAAACAGAGGAAGTGTGAGTTTAGAAAGAGGCAAGGACTTCAGAAGATGCAATTTATTAAAATACTAGATTTAGTAGTGTAAGTTAAAATACATCTAAAAATACTGGTTTTGCTTTGGGTCAGTGAAAATATAAACTAGATATTTTATTCCATAGGTCAGTCTGAAACTTGGGCAGAAATGTTTAACACTTAATAACCATCAGTGAGTCCAAGTTTGGTCTGAGATAAAAAGCAACAAAAGCAGTGGACTATTACATTTGTGACCAACTTTCTGACTTCTGCAAGGATTTGTTTATGCTATTGCAAAAGCGGGGTTTAGTTGGCTAGTGTTTTTTGTTTCAGATTGCCACTCTATTATTTTATGGGGTTAGGAACGCTTCAGCTTCCCTCCTATTACCTGTTCTGTCAGTGAAGAAGCAACGAAGTCACAGCAAGTTTTAAACCACTGGCAAGAAGTTGTCCTTGTGTGCTTCTCCCCAATTCCTAGGACAAGCTGAAGAGCTTTTATACAAAATGGAGACTCAGCCATCTGATTACAGCTGGCTTGGGATGGGACCTAAGGACCAGGAAAGGCAGCAAAAAAATAAGTGTGCTGGAAATGGTTTCTGAAGGACTGTCAGCAATTTGTTTTGGGGCTTTCTTGAAGCATTACCATGCTGAGTTCTGTTGTTGTGTGTCTGAGGAGTTACTTCAGCTCTCTGTAGATCTGCACCCTGACTCTGGCCTGGAAGACTCCCACATCTCCTAAAGACCCCTACCAAGGAAATGGATGAGCAGCTTCTAATTTCCCTCTGGCCAGATTCTACAAGGTGTTTTGGAGACATCTAATAAGCCCCAGCCAGAGATTCTCAAACTCATTTGTGCCCCAAGCCGGTGATTTTATAGACACTTTTTGTCACTCCAACCCACCTGTAGTGCTGCAGTTGTGATTCCAGCTGCTGGATGTGTATTTGCAGATGTGGCACCTCGTTAGCTCTCACTTCCAGCTCCTTCACTTTGCCAAGACTGTTCAGGACAGCCCGTCTGGCCTCTTCCACCTTCCTCCTCATCTCTGCCTGCTCCCTCTTCAGGTGGCGGTTGCAATCTTCCAGGCTGACCAGAGCTTCCTGAGAGCTCTTCAGCTCCTTCTCCAGCTCCTGACTGAACCTGATGGCTTCTTCAACCTGCCCATCCCTGGAGCTCCGGATGAGCTCCATTTCCTCCAGGACACTTTGGAGGCACTTGGTCTGGGAGTGCTTCTGTGTTAATGCTCTCTTCCTCCCTGTCAAGCAGGATCCTTCTTCTCTATGGCTGGCATGGCTCTTCCGCAGTCCCACCTGTAATGACCAGGAGCACAAAGCAGGGAGAAATTGATGGGGTTTAATGAAGACTGCAAGTGGCTGGACTGTGCTTTGTTGGGCATTTTTGTTTAATCCCATAGAGGTGATCAGCAACTAAAGCTACTTGACCTCTGCCAGATACAAAGACAAGGAGACAATCTCTGGAAAGTAGTTTTTAATACCTAGCTATGCATTTAATTTTCAAACTACTCACTATCATGTTATTGCACAAATTTCTGTGTAGCTTTAATGTCATTACTGTGGTCTGTACTCAGGAGTCAAGTAGTCTGCTGAAAAAGATATTTCCAATGAAGTTGTGTTCATGAGAAGAGGGCAGGGAGCAGCTGGGGGTGTTCTGGAGCTCTCCTCTTTGTCACTTTCATTCTTTCTGGGACCTCTGACTGGTGACTTGGTGTTTGCTGCTGATTTCCTTTCCCATTTTGAGATGAAAATGGTAAAAGTGTCTCTGACCTGCCTTGCTGGACATTGTGAAGACAACAGTCGTCTACTGCAAGTGGAAGTGTCACAGGTGGAGCAGAGTTCTGTGAGTGCTGTGTTAGTATCAAATCACACCTGGCCAGACCTGCCAGAACAATGGGTCCATGCTGCCCTTCCCTGCTCTGCCTGTTCCACGCTATCTCATGCCAGAGGAATATAACTGCTGTTAAGTGTGTGTGTCAGTCGAGCCAGAACAGCAGAACCAGCAGAAACCAGCCCTGGAATTACTGGGGCTCTGCAGAGGAGCCCCAGACTATTCATCAGCCTGCCTGCAGAACTGGCTGCACCTCTGAACTCTTGTGACCACACTCTGAAGAAAGCAGTCTTCTAGTACTTCTCATAGGCACTTCTGGCTGAGACACTGCTTGTGCTTGTGCAGGTAGCAACCCAAAAGTTCTTTCTCACTTCAGGAAAAACCCTGCAGTGGTGCACACCCAGCATATGGTGGTATCGGCACATCCTGACTGCACGCGCAGTAGAAGAAGCAGCAGCATTGTACGCGTGGGTCTGTAAAGCTGAACTCCCCTACACTTCTAACAGAGTGCTCATCACAACGATATTTAATGGAACGCCGGTGCCATACATTTCTCCTTAAAGCCTCCCCGTAACTAAACTTTGCTAAAAAGTTACTGCCGAGGACGAACGAGCAACTTCGGTCTCAGTCTGGCAGTGGAGGGGTCATAAACACTGACCCTCCGAGAGCAGCATCTCTCCCGAAGCACTCGGGGCCAGCCGAGCCGCCCCGGGAGGCCGGTGCAGAAGGCGGCCCGGACTCACCTGCAGCGCCAGGCACCGCGCATCGCTGCTCTGCAGGGCGGCGCGCATGTCCTCCACCAGCTCCCGCAGGCTGCCGTTCTCCTCCTCCAGCTTGGTGAGGCGGTCCTCGGCCTGCTCCAGCGCCACGATCTCCTCGTAGCACTCTCGGGAGCAGAGCCCCGGCGGCCGCCGCTCGGCGCTGCCCGCGGCTCCGCGGCCGGCGGGGTCGGCGTGGCGGCGGCGGCGGCGGGGGCTGCGCAGGCGGATCTGGGTCTCGATGTGCTCGCTCTCCCGGCCCAGCGGCAGCCGCGGCCCCGCGCGGGTGCTGAAGTGGCCGCAGAGGCGCGCGTGGAACTGGCAGAAGGTGAGCTCGGCCGAGAGCCCGTCCCACAGCCCCGCGCACTCCTCGGGCTCCGCCGCCTCCTCCAGCCCCAGCACCTGGCACAGCGTGCGGAAGTCCTCGCCGGGGATGCGGCCCGCCCCGGCGCAGTCCAGGTGGTGGAAGATCTCCTGCAGGTACTGGTCCAGGCCGGTGGCCAGCACGACGATCTCGTTCTCCACGCCGCGGTCCAGCCCGTAGTGGTAGGCGAGGGCGCTGACCAGCCACTGCGTGCGCCGGGCCGGCCGCCCGTAGGGGTCCCAGCCCTCAGGCGGCTCCATCGCACCCGCTCAGCCCACGGCGCTGCCCGAGCATCCCCAGCGCCGCCCGGCCGAGCACTCGGCCCCGGCCCGCGGCGGGGCGGGACGGGCGGGGCGGGGCCACCGCTGCTCCAGCGCCGCTCACCAAGCACCCGGCTCGCCCCGCAGCGGAGCCGCGTCCGCCTTTGTCTGGCACAAAAAGGGATTCCGGCAAAGCGGCCAGGTGCCGCCCTGCTCCGCTTGTCTGCCAAGCCTGCGCCCCAAGTGTGCTGCTCATTCTTAACTCATTTCTCCCTTCTGCTTTCTCTTTAACACAAGCAACACAATAGCATCGCACAATCCACTCTGACAAGCAGGGCTCGTGAACGAGTGAGTGGTGCTTGCACTGAATTAAAAACCCAGTGTGCAAGCATCCCCAGCGCCGCCCGGCCGAGCACTCGGCCCCGGCCCGCGGCGGGGCGGGACGGGCGGGGCGGGGCCACCGCTGCTCCAGCGCCGCTCACCAAGCACCCGGCTCGCCCCACAGCGGAGCCGCGTCCGCCTTTGTCTGGCACAAAAAGGGATTCCGGCAAAGCGGCCAGGTGCCGCCCTGCTCCGCTTGTCTGCCAAGCCTGCGCCCCAAGTGTGCTGCTCATTCTTAACTCATTTCTCCCTTCTGCTTTCTCTTTAACACAAGCAACACAATAGCATCGCACAATCCACTCTGACAAGCAGGGCTCGTGAACAAGTGAGTGGTGCTTGCACTGAACTAAAAACCCAGTCTGCGTGAAAGCCGACCTTCTGTTCGCTCAGACCTCCTCACCTGTGTAGATGACGTGACTTTATGGTGTTGCTGTGTGGGTTTTAAGAGGTCTGGGATAGAGGTGAGGAAGCGTTAAACTCCTTCAAAGGAGCTGCCCAAAGCAGTGCCTTCAGTCCCTCTTTGCCTGCGGAGTAGGACCGGCGCTGTTGAACACAGGCAGCAGCACGAGCAGGGCTCCTCCACCAGCAGGGACATGCCACGAGCCAGGAGGGACCGTGGTACCAGAGGGGACCGTGGCACCAGCCGTGCCCGAGGTCTGAACAGGGTGGCAAAGTCAGGTGCTGCTAACAGGCTGCATTAACAGCCCAGGCAAGGCGTGGTGAGCAGCCACCAGTTTGGGAGCCATCCAAGGAGTCCTGTCAAGAGCAAATTGTTCTAATATTCTCTCTAGGACAAAAAAGGAGCAAACCAATCGGGTTGATATGTGAGGAAAGAGAGTTCAAGTTCATTTAAAGCGCTGCTCAGTTCAGGGTTGGCTTTCTTTTGAGTGAACTGATGCTAAGAAATATTTTCTCACATATGGTGGGGCTTCACCGCCAACAGGCTTTGATGAGAAATTTCTGACCACATTTGCTTTTGCTCTTTAAGATAAGCCAAGAACCTGTGTAGCTTTGTTGAGGAATGGAGAATTGTTTGTAGCTCAGGAGGAGCCTAACATTTTAGCACAGCAGGAAGGTAAGGCAAAGGTATAAAAGCTTTCCCCTCCTGGAGTGACGCACTTTCAGAGGAGTCTGTGAGGAGAAGTCCTCTCAGCCACTGCCAGGGCTGTCTGCCTCCTCTGCAGGCTCAGTATTCTGGGAGTTCCACGAGCCTCAGCTACCAGTGAATTTTCCTCTGAATATTTTTTGTTGTGCAGTACACAGGGAGTGTACTATATTTTGTGTTAGATTCCCTTCTGGGCTTTGAGGTAAATCCTCACTAATTGTTGTGATTTTTACATCCAGATGAACTTTTTATGGATAGGAAGGAAAAGGGAAGAAGTACCATGGAAAATTAATAGCTCAAAATGCGAGGGGCCCAAGCACATTAAAAATGAAATCTAAACTGAAGTATGTTTTATTTTTTTCCCGCTGGTAGGTGGGGCAAAACATGCAGTGTGGATAAAGTCTATAAGAGATGCAACAAGCTCCCAAGTGTATGAAAATCAAAGTGGTAAACAATTAGATAGGACATGGGAAGAATCTTCAGCCCTTCCTGTTGAAGGTCCAAGAGTATGAAAACTGACTCTGGCTGTTGCCCATAGGTAACACGTGCTATTTGTAGAGGAGAGCAGGTGCCCCAAACTGTTGGTGGCCCAAGCCCTGCCGTGGCTGGCCCAGTTCCAGTCCTAGCTGGACCAGGGCGGCGGGCTCGGGAGGGGAGGAGGTGGGGGGATCTCGGGAGGCTTCCGCTTCATGGCCGGGCTGGGGGGCCGTGGGGGAGGCACAGAGTGCTGGTGCTCTGCTTTGATGGGCAACTGCTGCTGCTGCTGCTGCTGCTGAGGCCATGTCTGAGAGCTGTCAAACCTGACGCCCTCTGGGCTCCCTGGGGGCGAGGGAGAGTCACGCCTTCTCGGCCGGGATGCTGGAGCTGTGGCAGCACGACTGTGAAGAGAGGAGGAGGCTGAGGCCCCAGCTGCCAGTGGCACACAGGGACCCTCCTGCACAGCAGGGCCCAGAGCAGGCAAGGCTCCCCAGCACGGCTGGAGCTGCTGGCACAGCTGGGCCCAGCTGGACAGCTGCCCCTCAAGGCCCCAGCGAGCAGGGGACGGCTCTGGGCAGGGCCCCTGGCCAGGAGCGGGCCCCAGAGTGCCTCTGCCTTTCAAGGGCAATCTCGGCCCTGCTCTTTCTCCTCCCCACCTTGCTCTGCCTCTGCCCTGTGCCCCTGGGACTGCTCTTGGCCAGGCAGCCTCAGTGGGAGCCAGCCCTGGCTGCAGCCCCAGCAGGCCCCCAGGACAAGGCCCAGCAACTGAGAGGCCAATGGAAGCACTGGGCAGCAGCAGAACCCTAAGCACAGTTATGTAGACAACCATGGACTGGCCACAACTCCACTGCAGCCTCGCTGGGAATGTTCCCTGACTATGAGCAGCATTTCAAGAAGCTGGAGGGTAGAGATCAGTAACAACTTACTGTTTCTTTTCCTTCCACCACCAGAACCCAACATAGCACAGCACCATGGAAAGTGGCACAGTGGACAGTGTCACCACCGTGCCTATCATGCAGGACCTGCGCACATCCTGAGGGCAGACAATACTTGCGGTGTTCCATGGATTCTGAGCATTTGTGTCTTACTTGCCAAGCACTTCTGTGGGAGCAATTGAGAGCATGAGCCCGTGCTGTGCTGCGCTGCTGAGCTGGCAGCACGGTGGGTACGGGCAGGACGTTCTCTTTTTCTCCCAGAGCTGGGGCCTGCAGGCACCTTACTGCCACTTGGCACAGGCTGTGCCACCCAAGAAAGCCCAGCAGGCCGGGAGGAGAGCCCGGGGGCAGTGCAGCTGCTTGGGCAGAAGCTGCTGCGAGGGACAGGGGCCAAACCCACCGCTGAGCAGCCACTGCCACCCCTGGGCCTCCCTGCCCCGTGACAGCTCCCCCAGCCCCAGGGGACAGGGGCAGGCCCCGTCAGGACTCAGTGCCGCCCCTGCCCAGTCGGGAGCCAGGGCTGGCTCTGGCCCTGGGCTGGCGGCAGGGCTCCCGCTCGGGGCTGCTCCTGTGCCTTGGGCCTCTGGGCACTCAGGGCCAGCTCTGGAGCAGCTGCAGCGCGAGGGACAGTGCTGAACCAGTCCCGTTTCCCCAGGGCTGTGAACGAGCTTGGAGGCCTCCAAGCCGAGGCGCCTCCAGCTTTGGCTGCTGCCGGGCTGGGCAAGGGCCGGCCCTGGGGGAAGAGCTGCTGCCTCACAACCCCACCTAGGGCTGAGCCCGGCACAGCAATTACCTGCTGTGTCTATGCCCGTGTCTGGCATCTTCTCCTTTCCTGAATCAGAAAGTGGCACAAAGCTGCTCCTTCCTGTCGGATATGGCACCATCTGCACAGACTTTTGCTCCATCGCTTGAGAAAGGAAAAAGTACAGCAGGATCAGATGGAACCATTCAGCATTGCGGAGGGTGGCATCTTCAGGAGACATTACTTGTAAACTCATGGATAAGGATCAGGAAGATGGCCAGGTTTTTGAGACTGGGCCAGGACCCTCTCCAGTCAAAACAGCCCCTACACCTGATCTGCCTGGAGACTGGGAAATTGCAAGGGATCTCAGGGTAGGCATGCCCTGTGGTGCAGTTGGGGCTGCCTCTCAGCTGATGCCAAATGCCTTCCTGCAGAGGCTGGGCAGAAGCTGCAGCCAGGCCATGCTGGGAAACAGCCCTGCAGGCCGTGAAAGCAGCAGCGGGGCAGCAAGGCTGCCATGGATCCCTTCCTGCTGTGCCGGGCACGGTGAGTCCAGATGTGCAGACAAAGCCCCCGGCTGCTGAGTCCCAGGGGAAGGCTGAGGGAAATGCACCCACCACGGTGTCTCTCCAGGTCACTCAGCATCTGGTCCAGATGTTTGGCTGCCTCCAGGGACTTACTGTCTCCTGTGTCTGGATTCTCGCCTGTTAGGGGACCTTAAAAAAAAAGTCGTTCTACTTCATGTGGATGGATGCCACAAAACCAGACTCAGCCTGTGGGGTCAGCAGGCAAACACTTCTCGCCCCTGCCACTGGAGCTGGGCTTGCGTGCAGTAATAAGCAAGGGAGCAGGGAAATTCCTCTCTTCAGACACACCTGTAACTCAAGAGCCACAGAAACTTCTGTCACCTGGTTCCTGCCAGGTTGCAATGATTATTATCTGAGGGGAAGTTGCGAACTTACCTGTAGAATCTCCCAAGAGCTCCAAACCATCTTCCATCCAACCTCCTTGAGAAGCATTTCCAGCACTGTCATCTAGAAGGGAGTAGAAATCAGAAGTATTTCCATGGTGTGGTGGGCTCCTTCTGCCTTTGGGAACTGAGCACTGCAAGGGAGGGAAATGCAGAGACTACAGTGCCTCTCCAGTGCAGGAGCAGGGGCAGGGGGACCACGTGCCTGCAGTGGCCCCACACTGGGATGGAAGGAGCCCCTTGCAGGGCAGTCGGGGCAGAAAGGACCCCTTGGAGATGCCAGCAGCTCTAAACCCAGCCCCGGGCAGGGCCAGGGCTTGGCAGTGGCAGCAGGAGCAGCTCAGGCTCCCTGGGCCGGCAAAAGAGCTGCGAAAGGCTCAGCCCCGGGGCACAGCCCTGGGCCCGGCCCCTTCCCTCTCTGCTCTTCTCTGTGGCTGCACAGAGCACACAGAAGGACACAGTGGCATTGCACAAGGGAGGAAGATGAACA